GGTGCTGGGGGATTGAACCGTGATCCCTGTGCTTTGCTAAGCTTGTTCTAAGTAGGTGCTTTAGACCACTGAGCCATCTCACCAGCCCCCCAATTACTTTAAATTCAAATTCAAATAGCAACATACAGCCAGTGGCAATCCCCCTCTGAACAGTTCACGCAGCCTTTCCCTTTCTACTTACCCATCCATCCCTTAGTCCTGACTATTTATTGGACACTTCCTTGGGTAGGCGGGAGCTGGGGGAAACCAAGACACACGTAGGCCTGCATGGTGGGTGGGCTTCCCTGGAAGCAGGCACAGATGGGACTCAACAGGCAAGATGTTTTAAAGAGGACCTTGGGACTGATCCTGTGGAAGCGAGGGGACAGAAGCCCAAGAAGCACCTGCCAGTCCCTCTGGTCCGAGGCCCCTCTACCCTCTGTGAGTGTCCTGAGAGGGCTGACGCCATGGTTGGGCCTTTATACCTCAGCTAGGTCTTGCCTATGGAAAGAGGTGACCTGAGAGACATGGGTCTGTGTAACAAACCTGTAAATTTAGTAGCTCAGCACAGTGACCATTTATTTGTTTGTGACTCTCCTGGTTGACAGTTTAGGGCTGGACATGGCTAGGTGGTTCTGCTGGTCTCACTGTGACTACAGATGGGTAACTGAACTGGGATGTAAGACTGCCTTACTGCTGGCCCAGGGTTGGTCGTGCTTGTCACCAGGCCACGTGGCTGCAGCAGGCGCCCACTGGGTAGCAAGAGAGCATGCGTGGAAGCTGCAAAGGCCTCCCACAGCCTCGGCTGCAGTGGGACACGGCCGCGCTCATCTTACCCGGCTCCTCAAAGCTTGCCTTAGACAGCCCAGACTTACAAGGTGGAAAAATAGACTGCCTCTGGCTGGGAGGGACTGAGCAGAACTTATGGCCATTCTTGGTGTGCCACAAGGAGGCTCCAGGGTTCGGTAGCGGTGTCCTGGAGGGGGCAAGCTTTGAGCCAAACTGCAAAGCCAGATTAGACTGACTTCGATGCGAGGAAAAGGATGATATTCCGGGCATGAGGGACAAGTGAAAGAAGAGGCCCTGATCCAACCAGTCTTATGGGCGAGAGTGTGCGAGACAGGCTGCTGGGAAGTAAGATGGAAGGGGGCTCGGGGACAGCCTGAGGGTGCCTGATCCAGGACCCAGTAGGTGCAAGTGAAGCCTGGTCGGTTGGGAGCAGGGCCGGAAGTGGTGTGAATGCCACCGTCCACACCCTACCCCCTCATTGCCTCCTTCACAGTGTTTTCTAAGCATCTGGCTGGACAGCCAGTCTCAGGGCAGTTGACATTTATTCCTTTTTCTCCTGTCTCTGCCCCCACCGTCAGGGGGCTTGGGCATCTTCTCCGTAGTCACTGATGACAAATACAGGTCCTGTCCACAAGGTCTGAACCTAAAACCTGCTTTGTGGGGAGAGATGGCGGGAGGGTGACTTATGCTGGAGCCAGAAGCAGGGTGTGCTGCTGCAGGCTGGGCGGGGGTGTGCTCCTGCCCCCAGCCGACTGCTGCCTCTGCTCTGCTCTAGCTCATCAGCCTGTGTCCTTTCCAGGAAGGACAACTCCAGCACGGTCACCCTAGTAGCTACACGGAACACCCTCTTTGCCTCAGTCTGAGAGGGGTTCAGATTTCTTCTTCTCTATGACAGATGAGCCAGGTGTGGTGCTCGCCTATACTCCTAGCACCCTGGGAGGCGGAGGCAGGAGGATCACAAGTATGAGCCTAGGGGAAGCTTAGTGACCTCTGCCTAGAGATGCAGCTCAGTGTGAAGATCCTGGGTCCAATCCTCAGTGCAGAAACAAAACCAGAAAGCACCAGGTGACCCAAGGGAGGCCACCGAGGACAAAGTCAGGGCACTCAGAAGAGTCAAGGGAGAAGAGGAGATACAAAAGCTAAGCTTTGTGCATCACACCGTCCTTGCTTCCACAGGCTGGCTCTGCCCACTGCCTGCGTGGTCAAGGGTCCATGGCGAGGCCCAGACTCGCCCAAGGAGCCCAGACACAGCCGAGCCTCTCGTAGGGGGTCTGCCCACCCACAGGATAGAGGGGGAACATGTGTGTGAGACTGATGACTCGAGGAGACCTTAGGATGATCTCACCTGCCCGGGAGCCTGAGGCAAACCTGGTGGCTTCTGCAACCCCATAGGCCTCAAGAGCAAACTGCAGAACCAGAATCTTTACGTTGCAGACCCCCAGGCCTATCCTGCAGGTGGGCCTGCTATGCAGTATGGCCTGGTGTCAGCTGTCCTTGGAGCTGCTAGCAGTGCATCCCAGTGTCCTGGCCACACCCCAGACCAGGGACAACTGAGCGCCAGAAGTGCAGAACAGGAGGTGAACTCAGTAGTGTACCAAGCGTGCAGGCTGGCTGCCACGAGCCCCAAGGTGGAACTGCTGCAGTGGACAAGCAAAGGCCGCAGGAGCATCCACCAGCGGCCCCTGCCCTCCCTGCCCTCCTCCAGGCTGCCCACTGTCCCCCTGCAGTACGGGAACCTAAGTGTCCTGGGCTCAGTGTCCTGGCCCCTCCTCCTCGAAACACCAGCCCTGCCTGGACCTCCATTTGTTCACCTGAGAAGGGTTTGGGTGTGTGGCTCAGCGTGCCCTCGGAGCAAGGTCCTGGTGACCCTGGCTGTCCCTCTGGCCCACGTGCTGGCTTTCATCTCCCAGGCAGCTCTGCCTGTAGCCAGCACAGTGGAGCTGCAGCAGCTTAAAAAGCATCCAGCCAAGCCCATCCCGCCTTCTGCCCGCTCTGAAGGGCCGCTGCTCCTTGTCTGCGAGCACCCTTAATTCCCCCAGTCAGAAGCCTTCATCTAGCACCGACGACCTATAAATCCTGCTTTGATTCGCCTGGCTCTGATGTTGTCCTGCATCTGGTTTATCTCCCCAGCTAAGCTGTGAGTTCCTTCAAGGTCATTCTTAATTCATTTCATAAATGCAGCATCTCTTGATTTAAGAGCTCCTTTCAGCTGCCACGCTGGGGCTGGGAACACAGTAGCTGGGGACGCAGCAGTGGGCAAGACCAACAGTCCCTCATGTGGAGCAGGAAGTGAGCAGGAAGGGGAGAAGGAGTAAGTGGAGCGATCCCAGGGCTGTGTGTGCCACGCAGGGGCCTCTGAGAGCAGCAGGGGCACGGGCAGGTATCAGAGGTTCCCCGAGGGGCCTGTGCTGGGACACTCGTGGCCTGCACAGGGTGAAATGGACCCTTCAGCATCCACCAACTCTGCCCTATGCCTCCTGAGAATAAATGAGGCCTGTTGATTTAAACAGCAAGTGACACTCAGAATCTAGGCCCTGTGGGTCCTTCCCCTGCCAGTGCCCCTTCCCAAGCTGTGAAGGCTCACGGGTTCCTGGGGACAAAGAAGTGTCTGGTGCGGGCAGGGGGCCTTTACAGAGCGCATTTGATCACCAGTAGTGGCTCCCTACTCCCTGAAAGCCCCTTTCCTGGATTCCAGTCTCCATCTTGGGGCTGTGGTGGGGACACAGCCCACTTGTCCCTAGGTCTTCAAAGGAGGCCTCTGCTCTGGTTCTGTCGGCTCTGGGAATCTCTGGGCTCTTTCCCAGCCACCTGGTCCTGAGCTCAGGCTGTACCCCGTTGGCTGCTCATCCCTCCCCTTACCAGCCCACTCTCTCTGCCTCTTCTGTCCAGTTTCTTGGCTACCTCAGCGCCCGGGAGAGGTTGCTGCAGCAGGGCTATGAGGAGGGCCTGGTGGACGAAGCCATGGAGCTCTTCCAGTACTCAGAAAGCAAGGTCAGCTGGGCCCACCGCCTGGGTCCCAGGAGATGGGGTATGGGGGTACACCTGTCCCTGGGGCAGTTGTGGAGGCATAGATGGAATGTAGTCAGAGGTAAAAACCAAGGGATGGCAGGGAAAGGGCAGCTGGGGGCTGGGTTTCAAGCCTGGGGTCAGAGGAAACAGCAAGCCAGTTTCTGGGTGCAAGCATGGTCCTGGGGCTCCTTGGCCTGCACCCATGCCCAAGCCCAGGGGTCGGGAGGAGCAGGAAGTGGCACTGAGGCCAGGCCAGGGCTTCCTTCACTGAGCAGAAGCAGAAGGGCCAGAGGCCACATTGCCCCATAGACGCAGGAATATAGCAGGGGCCACCCAGGGCTGGCTTGCCTGGTCTGTGGGGCCGCAGGTTTCTGGGTCGGGTCCACCAGGGTCCCAGCTCTCCCCACCCCCTCCACAGGCCGCGGAATTCCTGCGCCTCTGGGAACAGTTCAGTGATATGGGTTTCCAGCCGCAGCGGGTCAAGGAGGTGCTGCTGGTGCACGGAAACCGACGCGAGCAGGCGCTGGAGGAGCTGGTGGCCTTTGCCCAGTGACCGCCAGGCCACTGATACCGCCAGTGTCACACACCCTGCTGCCAGCAGTTGCCCTGTGTCATGGGAACCAAACTGGAGGTATACAAACAAAGCTCTGCAAGTTCATTGTAAAAGACACAGCTCCCCAGCATTGGGGGAATCACTGAGGCCAGCCCTCCAGGAGGGAAGGGCGGGGCTGCGGTTTTTGGGGCTGCGATTTTCGGGTAAGCCTTGTGCACTGCCTGGGCTCAGCCCTCTCTGTGTTAATAACTTTGCTTTTGAGGAAATTAAAACAACAATGACAACGACCACAAGAGATGGCCTGTTCTTTTGAGTCCTGCGGCATCCTGGTCCTCACAGAAAATCCACAGCCCTAAGTTCTGGTTTGGGGCTCTGTGGATCTCCAAGCTCAAGGGCTCTTGGGGCTCCATTTCCCAAAGAAAAGTAGAAAACTGTGATGAGGTCAAAATTTTCCAGATGGTCTATGAGATACTCTGACAGAAAGCACAGCTTGGCAGCCTTGTGGGCTTTGTTTCCTTGGTTCTTTGAGACATAGTCTTGCTGGTATGGATCAAGCAGTCCTCCTGCCTCAGCCTTCAGAGTAGCAGGAACTGCAGACACAAGTTCTGTTTGTTTTATGTAAGGAGCTTGCTGGGGTTCTCTAGGACGTCGGGGCCCACAGTGGTGTGTGTGGCCTTCCTGGCCAACCAGCCTTGGCCCCTTCTGCTCTGGCAGTCTGGGCCCCTAGGTCACCTTTTGTGTTTTGGGAGGCAGAAGGTTGGGGCCACAGCTGTCCTTTAGAGGCCCCAAGGATGGAAAGGACCACTAGCTGGAGCCACCCATGACTTGGGCCAGCAGAGGCCGAGACAAGGACTCCCCTGCTTTTCCCTATTGCCCTATGGGAAGCTTGCGCAGAAACCAGACCTCTCAGCCACTGTACCTGCAAACAGGGCTGCGCTTGTGGCAGTAAAGTCACAAGTGCCACGTGGCTCAGGGCTCAGACACCTTGTGTGACAGTGTTGCGGAGACTGCTGCGCCCTCCACAAGTCCAGGACTCGTCCTGGGCCCCTCAGCCCCATCCAGGCCCTTGATGTCTTCCACCAAGCCCCAGTGCCTGCCAACTGGAAATCACTTGAAAGCTATTCTTGACCTTCAAGTGTGCTTTGAATAAGGCAATGCAAAACTATTGGAGAAAATCAGCAGGATGGCATAAAGTTGGCTCACGCGTCTGCTGCCAAAAAGAAACCTAGACTTGGAAAAGATAGTATAATTAAAGCTCAACTTCTAAGATGCAGTTTTAGGGCCAAAGTTACTTTGGTGCAGACTAAATGTACCTAGCCTCAGGTCTACCGCTTCACTAAGCCCCCTGCAGAAGGGGGGCCCAGTTGTTAGGCCCTTACCCCTCCCTCCACTCACATCTTCTCCTGCCTGTGCCTACATTTCCACCCATAGAAAAGAACTATTTGATTAAAAATGAGACAGCAGGCCAGGAATGGTGGAGCATGCCTGTAATCCTTGGGAGGATTGGGAGCCTCTTGGGAGGCTGAGGCAGGAAGATCGCTGTGAGTTCAAGGACAGCCTAGGCTACAAAGTGAGTTGAAGCCCAGCCTAAACTACATAGTGAGACCCTACCTCAGGAAACAAGCAAATAAACAAATCCAGACAGCAATATTAGTTTGAAATATGTTTTAAGAAGCAGAATGATGTGGTTTAGAAGCATGGACTTCAAATTCAGATCCGGGCTGAAAGTACAGCCTATCGCTCACTAGCAATGTGGCCTTTGGAAAGCCCCTAACCCCTTTGTGCCTTCGTTATTTATCTGTAAAATGCAGATACTGAGCCTTTGGCTGTGCCGGGAGGGGCAGTGCGCAGGAAGCGGTGGCGCTATCTCTGTTGGCCACTTCTGCCGTCGAGTTTGGAGCCTTCTCCATCGCATGCTTACTCTGAGCACCAGCCTCATCATGCTTACGGCTAGTAGATCTCCAGCTGCTAGGTCAGTGCTGGTGTCCCCCCGGTGCTCCTGTCTCGGAGGCTTGGTCCCTGTAACGGGCCTCCTGGAGGAATGGCTGGGGAGTGAGGGTGGATCATGACGTCACTGTTAGGACCCTGCCCCTCTTTCTGGGTGCCAGAGGTGGGCAGCTCTGCTCTGCCCCGACGCCCTGCCACACCCAGGGCTAAGGCCAAACACAACACAGCCCAGTGACCATGGACTCTGAAACACTGAGTCCAAGAATCCTTTTCTGCTAGCTTGTTTTTCTTAGCAAGGGGCAGCTGATCCATCTCCCTGGCTGTGGGATCAACCTCGAGCACCTGGAGCAGCTCTCGCTGGGTCTCCCCTTCTCCGGAAGGGCCAGCTGGTGGAACAGCTGTCTCTACCACGGATACAGGGCTCTGGAGGCTCCAGGAAGCAGGTGACACTCTAGCCACCTGAAGTGACCCAATGATGCCTCAAGGGGAGACCAGGATGGCAGGAGAGACCTGGCCCAGTGCAGCAGGGGGCAAAGCTGCCCTGGCCCCTGCTCTCTCTCCATCCCCTCACATTTTGTCTCTCCTGTGCCATGGTGGTACCCCTCAAAGTCTCCCGGCTGAACGGCGCCACAACTGTGATGGGGGCTGTCTCTCTCCTAAGTGCTTCAGTCTAAGGCCCTAGGTTGTTTATGTGTCCCCTCCTCAGATCTCTGAAGGATCCTGGTGGTCCAGTGGGCTGCGCTGGTAACCTAGAATATTCTGTCATCCAAAAAGCCTTACCTTGGGGGCCAGGGAGATAGCTCAGTAGAATAAGTGTTTGCCTGGCAAGTGCAAGGGCCTGAGTTCAATCCCTGGTTCCACAAAAAAAAAACCCAAAACACCCCCCCCAAAAAAACCCCAAAGAGCCTTACCTTAATTATAACTGCAAAGCTCTTTTGGCCAAGTTCTGGGTTTCGGGATGTAGTTACCTCTGGAGCTAGGACTTGGCACATGACCGAGGGGCCATGCTTAACCCCAAATGACGCAAAACTCCTGTGGGATTTCTGGCAACCGCGCAGGGACTTTTGTTGTGGTTTGTATTGGTATTGTGCAGGGGACAGTTCCAGTCTTCAGAGACAGCAGAGCAGACCTCTGTGTGACCCAAACTTCCTATTTCTACTAGCTGTATGCAGACAAAGCAGCCACTCCCGGGGCTCAGGCAGGATTGTGGAGCAGCTGACCCTCACTGCACCCTCCTCTCTCCATGCCAAGCCTTGCCACCCTGTTTCACTTTGAGTCAGTGTTCTGCAGCCGGTGACATCTGGAGGGGCTGTTAGGCCAGAGTGGGAGGGGGCCACTCCCTGGGCTCAGTTGGCCTCGGGATCGGTGGAGGAGTCAGGAGTCAAGGCCTCTCTGGGGCTGCCTCCTCTCATACCCCAGGGTAGCACTCAGCTGCCCATCTGCCCGCTGGTGGTCCAGGAGGGTGCCCTGCTGATCAGTGCAGGGAGCACTCTTGGCCCCACAGGACAGCACTGGGTAGATGACCATGCTCACCCTAGACAGTGACTCGGAAGTGATGGGTGGCCCAGTCACAGCTGTCAAGGGAAGGGGCAGCCCTCCTGGCCCTGTGTAAGGTATGCCTCAAGGAAGACTTGCGGAGTCTTTCCTCATGGGGTTGGGAGCTTCAGAGCCCCCACCTTGGGCCAGCACCTCCAGCACAGCCCTGCTTACCCCCAGATCCTCAGGCTCCTGCTCCGGCCTCCAGAGGACCACACCACTCAGGGCCCCCACAGAGAGGTGGTGCCTTCATGGTGGGCACAAGGTGACAGTGAGCAGGCCAGAAACCCTCTCCTCAGCTGGGTCTGCTCAGCCACCCCTGGCTCATTAACACCTGCTGCATGCTCTGTACTGTCCTTCCAGGCAGAGGACACCACCCAGGAGCCAAGAGCGCTGGCCCCACTGCTGGCCCAAACCATGAACTATGGCCCAGTTCTCCCACGCAGCAGCCTTGGTGACACTGCAGACCACTGGCCCAGGAGTGGGACAGCAATGACAGCAGGAAGTGGCCTCTGCCCTGGAGTGGGTCCCCAGACTGCTGGGCTGAGCAGTCTGCACTGGGGCTGGGATGACAGCGGGAAGGCAGAGGGACAGGCAGTGCTGGCCCTGATTCCAAGGGCCCTGGAGGGGGCACGCTGCCAGCTCCTCCTGTGGGGCAGGTCTGCTAGGTGCCCCTGCCAGTTCCACAACCAGCCCTGCAGTGGGGCACCCACCCCACCCAGCCCCTGCTGTAGCCCTCCCTCCTGCCACTCTCCTCCTGTACCTGTCCTTATAAGGCCAGCCACTCAGGAGACGTGTGTGCTGTGTCCTCTGGGCAGCTGCCCGTACAACGTCACCAGCTGTTTAACTACTTGGGACTCTTAACCTATGATTTTATTTATTTTTTGTCATAAAGAAAATGTCTCCAGGTTGGCTAGGCACGGTGACACACGCCTGTCATCCCAGTGCTCGGAAGGCTGAGGCAGGAGGATCGCTGTGAGTTTGAGGTTAGCCTGGGCTACACAGCGAGACCGTCTAACAAAACCAAGTTTCCAGATTAAGCAGAGACATTAACTGGGTGTCATATGAGGATGGAAAGCTGGAAGCCAGTGGACAGGGGAGCCAGGGACCCCAGATACACCAGCCTCAGGGCCTATGCTCACACGAATTCGATACTCAGCAGCCAGGAGATCCCGAGGACTTCAGAACCCCAGTGCTGGCCGTGGCCCCTTACTCTTCAGTGACACCCAGGGTGGGGGGAGTTCCCCTCCCCGGGCTACAGATGGCTTCATGTGCTGACAGAGCGCCTGTCCTGGGGAGGGGCACATGTCACCCACTGCATAGGGCCACTCTGACCCTGGCTGTAACCTTGGAACCCAGCCCTCGTCCTGGCCACGGCCTCAGAGGAGCTGCCACTGGCTCCGTGCTGTGGCTTCCCGCCTCCCTGGCTGGCTCTGTCCTCAGTGAGCCTGAACCACCGCAGCCCTTTGGTGGGGCAGATCTGGGCAGGCAGGGAAGGATAGGCAGAGAATGGGCTCCTCTCTCACCACCCTAACGCTCGGGGACTCAGGCAGGGGCTGCCGGCCGCAGCAGGGCTGGGGGTCTTGGTGCTCAGTGAGAGTACGGTCACCACCAGGGATCCGCCTCATGGGCTTGTCGGGCTGACGGGGCTGTCCCGCTCCTAAGCAAGGCTGGGGACAGGCACTGCACGCGGTTACTCTCAGCCCCAAGCCAGGCACAGCTTGCGGTTTGGGGGGACACATGGCAGTGATTGCTGAGTAGGGAGAGAACAGGAATAGGACAGAGGGGAGCCCAGAGAG